ATAAGATGATTTTAAATGTTGGCAGCAGCCCACATACTTGAAAAAACCAAAACCCTATTTCCGTTGTTGCGCACCTGTCATTACCGTGAATGAGTGCTTTTTGTCTCCTGATGGATGGTTGGTCTTAACTGCGTGCTGCTTTTTATTAGCGGAGTGAAACAGGGTGCTTTGTGATTCTGATGGAATACAGTGCACAAACCGGTGTAATTATCCAGTGTTTGTATAATCAGTGAGATTTTGAAGCGGAGTGTTGCACCACTCAGAAGTGGCCTAATTTCACCTGACAGCATTCCACTCAGACTTCAAGCATCTCCTCCAGGAGGCAGAGCGTGTTTTCTGGAGGCAAAAAGGCAATGCCGGTGGGAGACCGAGTTGTTCTAAATCACTAGCTAATTATGATGCTGCCGGTGGAGTACTGAGAAGGTCTTGTTCTAGATGGCAGATAGATGCATCCCTATTGTTTTAGAAATGTCACTTGTTTATTACGCATGAAGCATGATTCCACTTTATGCCCCATGGACCCAGTAATGAACCAGCCAAATCCATTCCGTTCCATTCAGCAGGAAGGTCAGACCCAGAAATGGGGGCCATTTGCCAGGAATCCCGAGGAAGGTGAAGCTGGATAAAGATGTAGGTGAAATCGGGGACTCATTGGGAAAAGCTACACAAACGAAATGGACACTCTTCCTTTTGAAGGAGATAGTCTCTCTGACAAGAAAGGAGCTTGTTCCGTTGAGCTGTTTCAGAAACCGTTGCAATACCAGTTGCAAAGAGGAAGGTTGGATTTTGTATTAACTCATTTAAATCAATTTATTTCAGCTCAGCAGGACACCAGAGCAAAAAATGTGAACAGTGCCCCAGGGCTGAATCTCACAGTCACCCCGCTCATCTAATTTGAACTCGATTGCTTTTTTCATTAAATTGAAAAATAATTTCAGGCAGGCCACCTTTCTAGGGATTACTGTGATGAATCATATTCTAGGGAAGAATCCTTGCTTTTCTCAGGTAGAACTGGTGACTATGAGTCTGGGTTCGTCCCCCTTTCCTTCATGAAGCCTGCCTATCTTGATCTGCATTATATTTTTAAAATGTATTTTATTGATTTTTTTACAGAGAGGAAGGGAGAGGGATAGAGAGTTAGAAACATCGATGAGAGAGAAACATCAATCAGCTGCATCCTACACACTCTCCACTGGGGATGTGCCGGCAACCAAGGTACATGCTTTTGACTGGAATCGAACCTGGGACCCTTGAGTCCACAGGCCGACGCTCTGTCCACTGAGCCAACCGGTTAGGGCTTGATCTGCATTCTTAATGAGAGCTACCAATGATAGTAATAGCTAACACTTGCTGAACGTTCACCATGTGCCAGGCACTGTTCTAAGGACTTTGCTAATTCAATCCTCACAGCCTCCCAAGATGGAGGTACTGTTATCATCATCATTTAACCATGGGGAAACTGGGGCTCAGAGAGGTTAAGTAGCCTGCCTTAAGCCACCCAGCCAGTAAGTGCTGGAGGTTGGGCTCAGACACCTGCAGTCAGGCTCCAGAGCCCACTACTCAATTCCGAAGACCCTCGATCACCAGCGGAAAGCATTCTTTAGTGAAAGAGTACCTGTACCCCGGACAGAGCTTCTGAGGACCTTGTAGGTCTGGGGCAGAGGGACCCCAAGCACAGGAACTACAAGCTTTTCCCGTGCAGCATCGGCTCCTCTCTTGGGCACCTAAACCTTTTTTTTTTTTTTTTTTTTTTTTAAAGCAGAGCCTAATTGGCAATGGGATGTGCTAAAGGAGACTCTCTTACACAGCTGTTGGAAGAGTATATTTTATTTTAAAAAGGAGTAAAGTAGAGCATGGAGAATATAGTTACTATATTAACTACGTATGGTGCCAGGTGGGTACTGGATAGATGGAGAAACACTTTGTAAAGTGTATGATTGTCGAACAACTATGTTGTACACCTGAAACTAATACAAAAACGATATAACGTAAATTATAAAAAAATAAAAACAAAAAAGTCTTTAACAATAGAAGAAGAGTAAATCTGAAATCCACACCTTTCCCAAGAAAGCTGTAGCTGAAAGGCATGTCCTTGTCAAGGGTCCATCATCTTGAAGACAACCTGTGCCCCGTCACTCTCTCTTAGCTCTTTAAGTTCCAAGGAATCTGAATTACTGGAAGAATTCTTTTTAACGATCTAAAAGGAAGAGGTGGGAGCTGTCTGAGAGGCAAAGGCAGGCCACTGGCATAGCTGCTCAGTCCTCAGAAGCCCAGGGGGAAGACCACGGAGGACGCTGGCTAGAGATTAATAGGCCAGTATTCTCCTGTCCTCCCCAGGACTGCTCACCCCCTCCTCCCAGTGTGGACAGAAGATTAGTGATGTGGCGCAGATGGCCAGCTGGGAGGGGAGGGCTCAGGAGAGGCTTCAAGGGAGAAAATTGGTGACTATGCGATGGACTGGGGGTGGTGGCTGTGGCCTGGGAAACACTGCCAACTACAGAGTGAACCAGAGGAGGATCCAGTTTGCTGTCTTCGCTGCAGGTTTATAGACTGAAAACAAAGACACCTTATCGGACCCAAATGAAAAGTTAACGTGAGAATTAAAAGGAGTCTATGCAAAGCGGACATTGGGACAGTGGTTTCAAAGCTTGCCTTGGCTATGGAGGAGGGAAAATACAAAAATGACAAGAGCCAACATGACAATAGCCGTCCTGTGTGAATTAATCAAAATTATACCTATTTTTTTTTGTCAGTTTGGCAAAAAATAGTATATTTTTTGATGTGCTGCAGAATTTTAGTAATTCGTTTATGATGTGTGCCATGAGATGAAAAGGGTTGAAATTACTGTTAAAAACTAATTTCTGAGTTAGAATCCATTTAAGATTTTATTCCCATATTACCCAGGGCACTTAATTTGCATTCTCTTCTCTTTTGGTCTACTGTTTCCTTTGGTGATGACTGGCATTTTATTCTAAACATTACTAACTGGCTACAAACCAAAATGGACCCAAACGTTCTGGAACAACCTCCTCTGCCTAATTTACCAGTGAGGAGGACCTTAAAGCCAGAGAGACCTGGGTACAGGACTGATTTTGTCCCCGTAAGCCATCTTGTGGCATTAACAGAACATCCGCGATCTTGTTGCTCCCTCATGTCAGTGGCGGGTGTCTGGTTGGGTGAACAGCAGAGCTGGTGCACCGTGGACTTAGGGGCAGTCATTAAACCTTGTGTTGGCAAACTTGGGGTTAACGTGGGGAAGTCATTTCTGATAGAACATTAAACGAAGAAAGCAGGACCACCAACTTGTGTTCCCAGTCTGCCCTCAACTATGTGAAAAATGTATGTGTGGAAATGAAAGGAAAGATGAACGATGAATAATAATGATTGTTTTTTGGGGAAGGTGATTATAAACGAATGCTGGCTGCTGCCTCATTGGTGTCATCCAAATGGCCTACCGTAGGCATGTATTTAATCTCCTCATTTGTGGAGAACTGCCTTTGTGAGATTGACACGAGTGTGGTCTTGCCACTCCTGTGGGTGGGCTCCCAAAGCTGCAGCATGTGGCTGGCCTAAACCCAGGGTCCCTTGTTTTTCAGGTAGGAAAACACCATTCTGTCAAGATTGAGTTGCCTTTTTAATCATTTTGACGTTTCTTAAAAAAGAAAGAAATGTAGACTTACAGAAAAAATTTAGATTCCTATACTATCTTTTATGACTTTTTAAATCAACCGTGTGTGTGTGTGTGTGTGTGTGTGTGTGTGTGTGTGTGTGTTTAATAGCTTTTGTTGAAAAATACCATTTTGAACACTCTACAGCTGGGCTTTTGCAAGCAGTGTGGCGGAGGTAGCCATGTGGTCCCACCCGAGGAACCGCAAGGAAACCAAGGACATCTGCAGTCTGAGAAGAAAGCTGTCCAAGGTCCCAAGAGTCAGTGTAAGAAAACAAAATGTAGTCAGGAAATTGTTCTCTGGCTAGGTCTGGCGTCTGGCTTTATGAATTCTGACCAGACCATGCTGAAGTACTTTGTATTGGTCTCAGATACATATTTGCTGAGTCTTTTTGCACAGATTTGCCTTTCTTTCCTTCCCATGTACACATATGAGGCCAGGTGTTAGCTTTGCTCTGTTACCCAGCAACAAGCTGGCCTCTCACCGTGGCCGAGTTCTCACACCAGGGAGCCGGGAAGGGGTGTGGATGTGCCAAACCCACTTCATCTGCTCTGCTGGGAACTATTTCTCAGACTTGCGGAATCACATTTGATTTGACAAGAATCACTCCCTGAAGTTCAGTCATGTGAAGGTCTTTTAATTGGCTCCAATCTGGAAATATTTGTCAGAAGCAATAGTGTTTTGCTATTTCCGTGGGTACCAATCTTCCACTATAGTCTTACTCAAAAGTAAAGTGAAGACAAGCAGAATTGAGGCGTAGAGTCAGTGCGGTGGTAATTTGTAACGACAGGTTGGAATTGGATCCTGGCGGGACCACACGCAATGGGTGTATGTGGCTTTGGGTGGTGGCAGGGGTGCAGATAAATAAAATAGGCACTTAGAAATACAAACCCGGGAAGATGTCAGAATCAACCTCCTTTCCCCTTTTTATTCTCTGGGTTCCCTTCTGCTGGCCATCAAACCCGGAGAGAGACGGGTCCCTGTCCCTTTGTTTAGACCCTCAAGTCAGCTTTGCTCAGCGATGGGACTCATGGACCGCATGCTGCACAGAATCCCTCCCCAAACCTTGTGCTATTGCACTTTGAAGAAGAAACCTCTTTTCTTTAGGTTGACAAGATGATCTTTAAAACACCATTCTCACCAAAATTTGCAGGTTGGAACTATAGTTAGGAAGCAGTTCTTGGTTAAAATGCCATGCAGTCTCTCCTGTATTGAACAGCAGCAAAACAAAACAGTATACTGGTGTGAAATTATTATTACTTTTATTGTTTTGCTTTTGCTTCCACTTGGGAATTCATTTCCTTTATTACTTGCCTCCTATTCCTCGCTCGTGCTTGTGTGTCTGTCTCAGTGGATGTGACCCTGTCAGGTTCTCTAGGAATCGCGTGGACATGAGGTGTTCTCAGGAGCAGAGGGGACAGGATTTTGGACAAGGAATCCAGATGGCCCCCATGGGGGCCCATGTTTTTGCCACTCAGACTTAATGACTTTCCTGCAAGTGTATGTTAGGCTGACGAATTTTTGGACCAATTGAATGTTTCTGGTCCCATTCCAGTTTGCTGTTAACAACTTGATCTGTTGGTAAACAGACACAGAGGTAGCGTCTATACGTCTATACGACATGAAAGGAGGTTTGACAACTTGTAGCTAATTTGGCCAATACAGATGGCCAGGGCCCGGGAGTGTCAGGGGGAAATGCTGGAGCACTGAGGCTTATCCAGTCAGCTGTGCCCAGGATCCTGCCCAGCTGAGCTCATGAACTTTGCCAACCAGGGTTTTTCTGAATAAGTAAACACCTTACCAGATGGAGAGGTGCTTATAGAACAAGACTTCCAGGCCTAAAAAGCGTATTGTTCTGTGTGACCAGACTTGGGGAATTGGAGGCTGCTTAGATCCACCGGCGTATTCCTCCTGCACTATGAAAAGGCACCCTAACCAGGGAATTTTGCTCTGACAAATCGAGCTGCACTGCAAAATTTTGAATGCTATCAAGGTGCTCCAAAGCCTCTATTATTCTAAACTCTGGCTTGGTTATCGGATGAGGTATTTTTCTAAAGAGAGCGGAAATTTAAGGCTGGACATTCTATTGAATTACAAGTGAATCCATGTCCTTACACACTGTGTCCCTTCACTGTCTTAGCATTTGATTATATATTACAAGCATATATTACTTTCTAAATACTTTATATACAAAAATCTGTCCTCGCTGACTAGAATGTTAAACTGTTCGAGAGTGGTAATCCCATGTTATGTACAGTAAAGAGCCAATTTATGCAAAAGGCTTAAATTGCCTCCCCATTTATGCCCACTTTACAGATGAGGAGACTGAGATCCAGGGAGACATTGAACAGAGACAATCATGGCATCTTCAGGAGGAGGAGAGGGATTTGGGTCAGGGAGGTTTTATATAAGTGTCTATGCTTTGATTTTGAAATGGTTCATTTATGCAGGAAGTTGGGGATTTGGGCACTATATTCAGTTTAATTATTATCATAATTAAAGCTATACCCATTTATTGAGCACCTGCATGCCAGGCCCTAGATAAACCAGATCTCATTTAATCTTCACTTCAGCTCTACAATGTTTGGGACCTGTCTGACCCCTTTACTGATGAGGAACCTGAGGATCAGAAAAGTTAAATAATCTGCCTAAGGTCATAACTAGCAATTTGCAGGGTCAGAATTTGAACCCAGGTCTGTCTGTCTGTCTCCAAAGCTTCCTTCACTGCCTCTAGGAGAGAGGGGCCTTATGCAATTAAGATGGGGGAGTGGGAGGGTGGGGAAGGGAATGTATTCAGCATCTGGAAGCTCCTGAAAAGGCAGATAGGCTGTCTTAACACAATAAAGAATATTACTAAGTGCTTACTTCCTAAGGGCTGGCAAGTAATTAACAATAGGCCATCTCCTATATATGAAATTATTTGTTTAAGTTGACATATTGTATTATGTAGTTGATAAACAGCAATGTGCCAGTGATTTAGCTTATGGCCTGGAGGAAGAAGTGCCTCCCAGACTCTTAACGTTTATTAAAATTTGACATTGATGGATCTAGTCGTTGAAGAATGGAGATAAAGAAAGGGACATTAGTGAAGCTTTAGTAGAGATTTCAGGAGCCCTACAGTTTCAGACCAAATTCATAAACAGTTTCCCACAAACAGTGTGAGATCCAGGCCTTACTTGTGGTTGTTTAAACTTGAGAAGTGGGGCACATACAGCGACTTTTCACCTGGTAGAGGATGGGGCGCCATCAGGATTATACCCAAATTGCTCCTTTTCTTTTTTTTTCTTTCTTTTTAAATGTTTTAATAAATCTTTATCGTTCATATTATTACAAATGTTCCTCTTTCCACCCCTCCCTCCATTGCTCCCCTCCACCAGGTTCCCACCCCACCCTCTGCCCTTTCCCCACCCCTCATTGTCCTTATCCATAGGTGCACAGTTTATGTTCAGTCTCTTCCCACGCCCCCCTCTCCCCTTTCCCCCAAGAATCGTCAGTTCACTCCCCTTCCATACCTCTGATTCTATTATATTCAACAGTTAATATTGTTCATCAGATTTTTTTTTTTAATTTCCTTGGTTTTTAGATTCACTTGTTGATAGTTACGTATTTATTGTTCATACTTTTAATCTTTATTTACTTGCTCTTCCGAAAGAACCCCCTTCCGAATTGCTCCTTTTCTATTGCCTTGTGTTTCTGTGGGTTCTTCTAGAGTCAACACGGGATGGCTATTGTAGATTTGGTGGAGAAGGGAAACATTCATTTTTTAACTCAGCAGGGGAAGGTTTTATCCATTCATTTATCTTCTTTGTATTTCCATTTCCATTTTGAGCTATAAATGGGACTTTGGAAGCAGGAGGGAAAAAGATGTTATTGTGGATTAGGGTCAATGGAAAAAAGGGTGGTCAGTTGTGTATTCAGAAGTAACCTCCCACCCCCAACAAAAATTTCCTGCAGCCACTTCTCAGCTATTTTTGAAAAGACACTGAAAAGAACATAACATCTTTAATCAAGAGCAATAGTATTAGTCGTTTACTACGTTATACTTTTCTTGGAGCCTATATTTATTTTGGTAGGCTGGAAATAGCTGAAGTTATTTTAGCAACCATGACAATTGTCTAGGAATTGAGTGTAGGCTGGGAATAGCCTGGCTGATTACATTGTTTAGAAATAATCTCTTCTCTCTCCCCCCTTTTTTGCAATCTCTTCATGGAAGAGGGCTCATAAATGTTCCTGTGGCTGATTTATTTCACGATGCCTTCTTTTATATCAACTCAGCAGCCTCACAATGCAACCATTTATTCTAGACTGTACTCTTTGAAGTCTGTTGTGAAGTGAACAGGGCTAGTTCTATTCCTGAGACAAGTCTATAGGCAACCTCAAGGCTTTTAAGAAATCTCATAATTCTCAGAAAGTGGAAAATTGGCAAACAGGAAGACTTTTGCCCTGTCCACATCAGGGGCCAGCATCCTCTGGTGGCTTACTAGAGATTATTGTAGAATCTTTGTCCCTGGAGGTCTTCAAGAGCAAGCTAGACTGACCACAGAATTAAGTAAGTGCTCATGGGTCCTGGGCCTTGAAGTGGTACCTGGATGGATGAGTGAATCTAACCTTAGGCCCAGAGAGGGTTGGGGATTTTATAAGCCACATACCTGGGTGTCTTCATTCCAGAGCACACCATTTATATCCTGTGGATAGTGAATGGTGCTCCTGGGCTTGGGGAAGACATATTGCTTCTCCCCTGGATGTTGGTATCTCCACCTTCAAGAATTTCAGTCTGGGTCTGAGGACAGAGAAGAGCCTCACCCTGATCTGGCCAGGGTGTTTGCATGGTGGTACCCAGGGGGCTGAGGAGAGAAGATGAGTTTCAATGTCAGGTGCGCCTAGTTTGAATCCCAGCTTTGTCACTCACCAGCCATGGCTTTGGACCAATCACTCAATTTCGGTATACCCGGTTTCTCCATGTAGTTGTGAACATACAACGAAGTTGGTCGTAGAGCTCTTGTTGAGGATTAGATATAATGCAATCCACAAAATACACAGAGCGAACAGTCAGTAAATGGTGGCTGTGTGGTTCCTGCTAGCACTAGTATTGGCGTTACAGTGAAGGGACGGACGACCTAAAAATGCTTCTCTCTCTGAGACTCTTCTCAACTGATAGGGCCTCTTGCTGCCACAACCAGGAGTCTGGCAGATGGACAGGGTAAGCTGCAGTTAGTGAAGAGGAATGGTGATGTTCCTGGCACCCTCTGCCCTTCTTTTCTACTCGTTGTGATTTCTGCACTCAGTTCCCACATAGGCTCTGCTGATGGTGTGATGAAAAAAATAGGTGTTGGAAAAACCAGAACTGACAGCTAGGTCAGAGGCCTTGTGATGAACTAGTACTAACTTGCCGTCACCAGGAGTGAAGGGCTTTTGGGTCTGAGACAGCGCTGTAGGCAGCATCACGCCATACGATGTGCCAAGGCATTGGGCTGATTCTGTGGAACTTAATGCTTAACGTTCTGTGATCAAAGATATGGTGTGTCTCTTGGCAAAACTAATATGATTGACACAATGAGTGTCTGAACTGAGGAAAAAGGGAAGAACCAGAAGTAGAGGCAGAAGTAATTTTTTCCCCCTGTGAAGTCATTGTCAACATGGCAATTTAAAGGTCTTTTTATGTCCTCTGAGATCTTTTTGTGGTGTCTAATTTGGAAAATCTTTGATGGGAAGACATGACATGATGGGCAGGGCATCGTCTACCCTCTGCACCCCCCTATAACTCCCATCTCTTATTTCTTGAGGAAATGAGAATAAAATGGTGCTAAACAAAAGGAAAATGTTATTAAAAATAGAAAGTTAACAACACAAAACAAAAAAACAAAAGGCAAAAGCTCTCTGACTTCCTGAAGTTACATGTATTATATTGTGGCCATACTTCTGAACTATTTCTAAAGAAATATAAGGCTGTTCACATCATTCTTGTTTCCTTCCTTAGATTCTATCACCTCAGCAGAGCCCACAGGCTTTGCTATTTACATGTATTGTGAGGGAACCAACCCAGTAGGGACTTAGGAAATATTAAATCATGGTCATTAAAAAACACTTCCCTCTGCACTTGGAGACCTTTTATGAATGCGCAGGGGTGGAATATTAGCTGCAGCTCAGTGAGTGTTGCTCGGGGTAATTATGCTGCTGGGGTGAAGGCTTCCAGTGCAATGTATGAGGATTTTCATTTAAATCCATCCTTCGGAGTTTGCCACAAGGAGCCCCTGCAAAAGCAAAACCTAGGGGAGCTTTAAGAGAGGCAACTTCCCAGACATTCTGTGTTAGATTAGAATTCCCTGCTTCTAATCCTTTTTTAAAAGAAGGGAGTTCGAAACCCATTTGGCTCAGTAGATAGAGCATCAGCCTGTGGACTGAAAGGTCCCAGGTTCGATTCCAGTCGGGGGAATGTGCCTTGGTTGTGGGCATATCACCAGTGAGGTGTGCAGGAGGCAGCTGATCGATGTTTTTCTTTCATCGATGTTTCTGACTATCCCTCTCCCTTCATCTCTGTAAAAAAACCAATAAAAATATATTTTAAAAAAAGAAGGGAGAATGTGTGACCATCTCCATGCCAACAGTTTTAGCCTAAGTGGATGATATTCCAGATTTCTGCCATCACTGACCCAAAAAAGTTAAGTTAAGAATTAAATTACACTACTTCTCTGGTAGCCCATCTTTGGCTTCTAACAAGGAATCTCAGAAATATCTAGATGAAGAATCAAAGACACCTTTTATGCCACTTGAGATGATACCACTTCATGGGTGAAGGCAGCTGGGTCATGGAGCTGAGAGGTCACAGGGCCTCTAAGAGGAATCTGCAGTCCTCTTGGGAAGGAAAAGGCCATGCCTTATTCCTGCTTCTGCCATTATCTTGCTGTGTGACTTGGTCAAGTCATGTAGCCTTTCTTTTAATATTTTCTAACTTGTGAACGTCCCTTATGATGATCTCACATTTCAAATCCTAGAGATCACTATGTTGATATGTGGGTGAGAGGAGTCTTGTCGGAGGACTTGCTTATTGCAATGTCAAATGTAGTTATAAGTCACTGAAATTTAGGTTTGAAGGAGTCGCTAGAACAGAAGTTCTCACATCTGTCTGCTGATCAGAATTGTCACTGGAAATTTTAAATCACAGACTTCAACTCTGGTTCTAGACATTCGGATTCAGTAGATCCAGGTTGGGCTCTGCCATATACACTGAGTGGCCAGATAATTATGATCTCTGAATGCATGATAAACTGGCCACTCACTGTGTGTGTGTGTGTATGTATACACACACACACACACAATATATATATATATATATATATATATATATATATATATATATATATATATATATATATATTAGAGGCCCAGTGCATGAATTTGTACAGGGTGGGGGCCGGCCAGCCTGGCCACAGGGAGGGGACATGGGTGGTTGGCCAGTCTGCCTGCTGGCCGAACTCCTGGTTGAGGGGACAATTTGCATATTAGCCTTTTATTATATAGGCTATACACTGAGTGGCCAGATTATTATGCATTCAGAGATCATAATAATCTGGCCACTCAGTGTATAGTTTTAATGAACATCCAGTGCTTTTGATGCTCAGCCAGGACCAGAAACCACCATTCTAGAACTACTAACAGGTGCCACCAGCTCCTGGTTTCATGCCTACCTCCACAGCAGGGGGGGCCTCATTACCTCATGAGATAACCAGCCCTGTGTAGCAGTCATTGGAAATGTGCTTTGGCTCTAAAGTGCCTTAAATTATTGGTTGATTGTATTTAAAACCCATGTTTTTAGGTAAAATACAGTCATTTATTTAATGACTAGATTGAATCAGGTACCTATTTTTATGAATAGGTTGACTCAGAGCTTGTGTGGGATACATTTATGCTGCTATTTTAAAATATCTGACTATAACTTTTAGTCTAAATCAGTTCCTATTCCTGTCTGCTGCATTTGCAAAACCTCCTTTCAACCATTCTGCATCCATTGTTTAATCAATATGACTGTGCTCTTCTCAAAACCTGGAACTACAATTTCCACTAGGGAGTCTTTGTCAGCCATCTCCACTGATGAATAATAAATAAATGCCAGGCATCCATATGTAAGGAAGCAACAGCTTCCCTCTTGAAACCTGATTTCTGACATCAGAGGCCTCAGTACTGGCCACGTGAAGAAGCTCAATGTGGTGTTTGCGACTGTAGCAGTGAGTGCCAGCTGCTGTGGGCACAGGGCATTCTGGGAAAACTCCCCAGAGGTGATATGTCGCACCAATATCTGAAGCATCAATAGGAAGCAGCCAAGTAAATAAATGGGGACAGGTAATCTAGGCAGAGGGAACAGCATATGCAAAGACCTAGCAAGTCTGTGTGGATAGATTGAAACATCTTGGCTACGGTTTGGTTAATGTAGGGAACAGTGCGTACTTTATGAGCTATGTCCCAGCATTTAAGACTCAGAGAGTTTTCCTAACATCTTCTTCCAGAGTAATAGCTTCTGTGGCTTCTGCAGAGCCTCCTTACCAGGAGCACCACCGTTTCATGATCCACACGAGAGTCCCGGGAGGTGAGGACAGCATGTGGACCCCTCTCCAGTGCCTGAGAGGAGACAGTGAGCCGTTGGAATCGTGGTGCAGAGCATGCCAGGCTCTTGTTATATGGAGGGCACCTGGGTGTAAACATGCATGCAATTTTGGTCCAAATAGCATTCAGTGTGGTCTGCTTCTCTCTCTCCCACTGCACTGAGGCCCAGTGGTTACAGAGTGACGTTCACTCCCTAGAAATTGCACTTCTGAGCACCCAGAGGTGCCTCCCCCTGCGGCTCTGCGGGAACTGCCTTCGGCTCTCCGGGGACTGCCTTCCTCTCCTCCACTGTCTGCAGTCAGCAAGACCTTGTGATAACCTGAGGCCAAGCAAATCCTCCGGGGAAAAGTCCAATAGTGACAGTGCTTGTCTTTACGGCTGTCCTCTGATAATGTGTAAGGGAAATGCGAGCCCTGGGCAGCAGTAGCTGTCTGGGTTCCAGAGCCAAAACTGAATTAAAAACTCATTAAATACTTTGAGCCAGTCAAGCTGGCAGGGGCTGGGAAAGCAGAAGCAGAGGAAGGGAAGGGGCGGCATTGCTAGTTGGCTAGAAGGCTGTGAGCAGGACGAGGCCGGCCAGGAAACAAGACACAACAGGGTCTACTTGCCTGTCACAAAGACTTGTTTGTGAGTACACTAGTTTGGTGCAGCTCCATAATGTATGCTAATTGCTATACTCTCCCCCTCCCCCCCCAAACGGGAAATGCTTGATTGTAAAAATCTGAAATCAAAGAGGCCATGCAGAAATGCCAAGATGTAGACATTACTAAAAAGAAAAAAGAAAGAACAAACGAAAGAAAAAAGAGGAGAAACAAAGGAAAACACAGGACCTGAATTTGCAAAATGGCTTAGCACTCTGCTAACTCAGCACCTCTCTTCCATGCTGGCTTATGGTAAAGAAGTGAGCAGAGGCTGGGATCTCCTGTGTGATCCAGCATCTGTCCCATGCATAGTCTGAAATTGACTAGTTGGATTTTTTCTTAAAACTAGAAGCAAAATTTCACCTCTGGAAAGAATAAAAAATTAGCAAGATGAAATCCCAGGATAGTTACTAGAACTTCCAGTAAATATTAATAAGAAAGTGTGAGCTGGTTTTTTTCACTACTTTTCTGAACAAGACACCATAAGACTCAGATGCATGGGGCTCAGTTGGTTGGAGAATCATACCATGCGGGTTCGATTCCTGGTCACTGTACATATCTAGCTTGCCGGTTCAATCCCCAATTAGGGCACCTACTGGAAGGAACTGATCTCTCTTTCTCTCTCAACGTATCCTTGGGTGATAATTAAAAAAAAAAAAAAAAAAAAAAAAAGAGTCAGATGCAAACTGAGGAGGGCACAGAATTGGGTCCACTTAACATAATCATCCATTAGTAGGAAAGACTCACTCAGAGTGTTTTTCTACCTGTCAAATCACATAACTCTAGGGTTTCTTTTGCTACCCTTGCACAACTGTTATTCTTTAAATCAAATAAAAAGCAGACGAACATATTAAAATAATGGTTTTTCTAATAAAGCTTATCTAAATGCACAGACATTTTATATTGAAGGGAAAAAAATGGGCCAGGGGAAAGAAATATATTTTCAGTTTTGATATCAAAATCCCAAGGGTGGAAGTATTACTCAGTGAACTTCTAAACTTTACCTTGTAACCCTTAATTTTGTTATAATTTTAAAAAGATGTAATTTATTTTTGAAAGCAATTTTATAGATATGAGATGTTTAGAAAATTTCATAATGGATTTGATTGGATCTGATAGGAAGGCAATGCAGATATTTTCCAGAACAATAGAAAAAACACATTTAAGCATCAGCTTATATCATTTAAGAATTGTGAGGGTGCCAAAACCGGTTTGGCTCAGTGGATAGAGCGTCAGCCTGCAGAGTGAAGGGTCCCACGTTCAATTCTGTCAAAGGCATGTACCTTGGTTGCAGGCACATTCCCAGTAGGGGTTGTGCAAGAGGCAGCTGATCAGTGTTTCTCTCTTATCGATGTTTCTAGCTCTCTATCCCTCTCCCTTCCTGTCTGTAAAAAAATCAATAAAATATATTGATTTTAATAAAATAAAATAAAATAAAAAGAATTGTGAGGGGGGGAAGGAACATAAATTTAAGCTTCAAACCTGACCTAGAACCCTCATCACAGTGTCCTTGGTTTGGGGTCCTTTTGTCCTTGAAGGAGCTGGCAATCAGGAACAAGGTTAGATTCTTCTCTTGTTGGACCACTGGACCTCATATACCAGGTCAAGCATTGCTCACCTCTCTTTGACTCCCATCCCTGTCCTATTCTTGCTATTTCTCCGATACCCTGAGCCAACAGGGCTCAGGACAACTTCACTCTTGCCTCTCCAACTTTTAACCTTAATTTCATGTATTTTCCTGATATCTGAGTTTAAAGCAAATTGGGATTGCCCTCTCCAGTCTTAGTGTGCTGCCTCACCTTTCTAGCTTCTCCAGTGACAGCCTCTGTCTACTCCAAAATAAATGGAGCAGAATCAAATGTTCTTTCTTTCAGTCATACTCCAGAACTTCATCGGTGGAACCTGATTTAGTCCATTCTCCAAGCCACCTTCCTTACCTGCCAGCCTTTTTACTAGGACAAAAGACATTATTTTATTTGTGAGAGAGCAAAGAATAAAGCACCATAAGAACTTTGCTTATCATATGTATGGATAATTGCATATACCCCAAGTGTATAAATACATAAAGAATAATCAATAGATGATAATGCATGATAGGAATGTAGAACATGGTATTATGCATGCTGATTTTCTTATGAGAATCTGTTCTCATGGAAATGAAAATCTGCACATATTTAGAAGAGCAGATTTTCCCAGAATTTCCAGTTAGAGCCTTCCTCTCTAAACTCATTCTAAATCGAAATTTCAATCTTTCTCAGATGAAGATAGAGGAGGGCATAATTTACTTGCCTGCTTGCCTGAATCCCTTCTGCATCATGGGTTTTGGACCTTTGTTCTCAGGAGAGTTACATCAGAAGGTTCAGAGCACATCTCTCAATGTCTTGAAAATGCCCCTTCGTCAGAGTTGATTGAATCTGTCAGAAACATATCTCTGCTTTTAAGTAAACATTAGCTAATTATGTGGCTCTGTACTTATCCCTTGTTTCCTTCGTCAAATTTTCCTAACTCTGCAGATGTAGTCATTCATCCACAGGCTCCCGGAAAAGACCAAGTATGGTGTGGGGCTATGCTGTGGCCCACCACTGATGGTGACCTTGTGAAGACCTTGTAATTAAATATAAAATCAAAGTGAAACCTTCTAATAAATGCCCTGCTTTAATTCTTTGAGGAACCAGAGGCAGAATTCAATGTACTTATGAAAAACAAAACAAAACAAAACAAAACAACAAAAAACCCACAAACACAAACAATTCCTAACACTTTTGGTCTTTTTTTTTTTTTTGTCTGCTAATGATGACATAGGCATATTTTTTTTTTCAGATCCTGAAAGTAGATTCCTGATTTACCCACTTCTATAAGCTGAATTTCAATCTACTTAAATTCCACTTAGAAACTGAATGTGTGTGTGTGTGTGTGTGTGTGTGTGTGTGTGTAGCTACCGACTGTCCATATTTTCAGTTGTCCTA